GAAGAAATTATTTCCCTGCAGCTGTGCTGGTCTCCCAGTTGGGAATGTTTCCATAGAAGGGGAGAGTCTCCCAGACCATCCTCCATCAAGTCCCATCAAGCCCATCTTCCCTGAAAAAAATTAATTTTGATTTTCTCATTCCATATATATATATATAAAATATATATATATTTTACACACTTATCATATAGAGCCATCCTTTGGTATCCACAGGGGATTGGTTCTAGGAATTCTCATGGCTTCCAAAAGCTACACATGCTCGAGTCTCTGACATAACATAGCATAGTATTTGCCCATAACCTATGCACATCCTCCCATATACTTTAATCTCTGGATTACTTAGAATACCTAAACAATGTAAATGCTATTAATAAATGTAAATGTAGATGGTTGTTATACTGCATTGTTTTTTATTTGTATTTTTTTAGTTTTCAGTTTTTGAGACAGGATATTGCTCTAGCGCCCAGGATGGAGTGTATTCACATCATCTCAGTTCTTTGTAACTTCTGCCTCTTGGGCTCAAGTGATCCTCCTGCCTCAGCCTCCCAAGTAGCTGGAACTACAGACATGTGCCACCTCACTCAGCTAATTTTGGTACTTTTTTGTAGACAGGGTCTTGTTATGTTGCTCAGGCCGGTCTCGAATTCCTAAGTTCAAATATTCCTCCCACTTTGGCCTCCCAAAGTGCTGGGATTACAGGTGTGAGCCACCACACCTGGTCTATTGTGTTTTTTTTTCCCCAGATATTTTCCATCCATCATTGGTTGAATCCACGGTTGTGGAACCCACATATACAAAGTGTTGATTGTATCTAAAAATGAAACTATTTAAAAGGTAGAAAAACGCAGCCACGATTTTGTCTCTTAATTCCTTTCTTCCATTTTCCTGTCTGCTAGACTCAGTGGGAACCCAAGAGGGAAGGAGTTTAGACGGGAGAACAGGTAGAGATAAGTGGGAAAGAGACGGCATTAAGGCCGTCAAATCTGTAAAGGGTGAATGCAGACTGCAGCACAGGACTGCCACCTGGTCGCTGGTCTCAGCTGCCAGGAAGAGCTGTGGCTTTGTCACCATCCTCAGCTCGTCTTGCTCCCTTGATCCCTGCCTCAGTTTGCTCGGCTCCTGGCCTCCTTGGAGGAAAATGCCTGTGTCAGTGGGAGCATGATGGAGGGTTCCAGGTTGAGGTGGGATGGGGGATAAGGACATGTTTGCATGAATGTGTCCTAAAGGAACATGTACATAAGGAAATGGACTCCCATCTGGAGAGTGAGCTGGGGGAGGCGGGCACTGCAAGGAGCAGGAAGACAGGCCGGATGTCTAGAGGTTGCTCCATAACCCCTAGTTCCTTTCGAGTGTCCTGCTTTGTCTGTTCTGGCTTTCACCCCAACCCAGAAACCTGGAGAAACCTCAACTGGAACGTCGAATGAGAAAATTCCAGCTCTCTGGGCCCAGGGTGAAAAAAGGAAGTTGTATGAAAAGAGGAGAAAGGAAAAAACAGTCTCATATTGTGCAACAGGTGAAGTCCCACGTTGCCCCACTTCGAGGTTTCCATACTGCCGTTTGTAATTCCTGGTGAAGCATTTCTTCATGAGGCTGCCCAGGCCTCCTGCAGCCTTCCCTGGTGGTCCTGCCTTTGTGGAGCTGAGCTCCTCCCTTCCCATTTGCTGAGGGGCAGGCACCAGTGGGAAAGGGACTCCATTGTGAGGGAGGAGACCTGGATTCTGGCCCTAGCCCTTCCTGTTCACTAACAATGAACCAGAGACAGGTCATGGCTCCGCTCTGGGCTGCATCTGACAGATGAGAGGATGGACTCTCCCAGATAGGAATCCAGGACCCCTCAGAGCACCCTAGGTGTCTCTAGAAGAGGCATACTTCCTAAGGGTCCTGGACCCTGGGTCAAGCCTCAGCCCCAGAACTCAGTTGCTGAAGCAGATCTCCCCTTGGGACGCCTCTCCTCATTATAGTCCATCTCCTTGAGGTGTGTCCCTCTCACCCTGGGTTCCTCCTGCAGTGAGGTTTGGCTCACCCTCCAGAATGCTCCCTTTCCTGCCACACTGAGCTACTGGGGGTCGCTATTGGTGACGCGTCAGTTGGTGGTTGTATTTGTTTCTATTGCTGCAAAACATTACCACACACTTAGCATCTTATAACCACATATTTATTCTCTCAAAGTTCTAGAAGTGAAAAGTCTGAAACTAGTTTCCCTGGGCCACACTCCCTCTGCACGCTCTAGGGGAGGAACCATTTCCTTGCCTTTTCCAGCTTCCAGAGCTGCATCCTCACACCTCTTGGCTCCTGGCCTCTTCCTCCATCTTCCAAGCCAGCAGCATAGCATCTTGCTTCTCTGGTCACATTGCTACGTTCTCCGCTATTGCCACATTTTTCTCTTCCTCCCTCTTGTAAGGACACTTACAACTACATTAGGGCCTGACCGGATAATTCAAGGCAACCACTCATCTCAAGATCCATAACTTGATCATATCTCCAGAGTCCCTTCTGCCACATAAAGTGACATTGACAGGTTCTGGGGAATAGGATGTGGATGTCTTGGGGGCTATTATTCAGCTACGACAGTGATCTATACCTTGTCTCTGGCTTGGGGTCATCCATTCTCTCTCCCATCCCATCCCCTTATAATAGAATTGTATATTTTTCTCCAAATCCACACCCTAATCTTACAGGCCATCCCAACTGCCCCTCCCTTCACTTTCTTTAGGCTCTGAGAATATTCTAGGAGACTGCCCTCCAACGGAACTTTCTGCGATGATGGACAGAAAGTCCATAATCCGTGCTGTCTAACGTGGTAACTAGCCATGTTACCAAGGGCTACTGAGCACTTGAAATGCGATAGTGTGACTCAGGAACTAAATTTTAAATTTTATTTCATTTTAATTAAATGTAATGAAATTGTAAATAGCCACTTTGGCCAGTGGCTAACATATTGGACAGCTCAGATCTAGGCAAATGAAAGCAGAAACTATGGCCAGGCACATTCTTCACTGCCAGCCTCTCCTCACACCTGTTTTGGATGAGCTATGCCCCCTAACCTCCTCCTCTCGGTCCCCGCAGAATCTGAAGGAGGCTTCCACTGGCGCTCTGGAATGATGGAAATGACTAAGGGCACAACAGGAAGGGAATTGTGTCTGTTGACCCCAGAGAAGTACAGGGCCCCAATTCTGCTTTTGCATAGGACTAAGAACACTCGAAGGATTTTCAAGGTAGTCTCGGCCTTGTCCTTACTCGACCGGTCTTCCTTTTGAGGACCACAGAGGTGTGTCACTAGGGAAGGTGTGCAGGAAAGGGCCCGAGCCTGGGAGCTGGCACTGGCCAGGGTCCTGCTCTGCTATGCACTTGCTGAGTGACATGTGGCAAGTTACTTCCCAGGCCTTGGCCCTCAGTTTCCATAAAATGAGAGGGTTGGACCAGATGGTCTAAAGTTTCCTTTTAGCTTTAGTAGACCATGAGTCTATGTCCTGTGGATCAGGCTTTATTGTGCATGTAATTCTGTTTCAGAGCCGTGTTGTCTGACCCATGGAATAGGCAGTTCTGATTGAAGGATAATTAAGTAGAAGTGGCTTTAGGTTACTCCTGCAACACTTCCAAACAAAACCAGACCTCCGGTCAGGCGCCGTGGCTCACACTTGTAATCCCAGCACTTTGGGAGGCTGAGGCGGGCGGATCACGAGGTCAGGAGATCGAGACCATCCTGGCTAACATGGTGAAGTCCCGTCTCTATTAAAAATACAAAAATTAGCCAGGCGTGGTGGCGGACGCCTGTGGTCCCAGCTCCTCCAGAGGCTGAGGCAGAAGAATGGCATGAACCTGGGAGGTGGAGCTTGCAGTGAGCTGAGATTGTGCCACTGCACTCCAGCCTGGGCGAAGGAGCGAGACTCTGCCAAAAAAAAAAAAAAAAGAAAAAAAAAGAAACAGACCTCCATCCTTCTGTCCTCATGACAACACTTCACAGTAGCTTGGGCTTTAGAGTGCTGATCCGTCAGCTAACTAATCTAATCCTCATGATGACCCTGATAACTGCTAGGTCCATTTTAAGCAAAAAGGCTGAAGCTCACAGAGGGAAGGAGAGAATCTTCCAGGTGCCCGGTCCCATGATGGGTGCTTTACATATCACCTCACAACAGCCCTTCGAAATGGTTAATGTTATCCCCATTTCACAGGTGTGAACACTGAGGTCTAATAAGGCAAGATGACTTTCCCAATGTTATGCTGGTAATAAGATGATGAAGACACTTTTCTCACTCTTCTTCCCGCTTTGCTGTGCTTCTTCCCTTGTTTACAATTTCCCCTCAAGATGTTGAAATGATAACCTCCTTTTTTGGGGCATTCTTTCATGACACTCCCCAAGTCGACCTACGAGCCTCAACAAGTCACTTCACCTCTCTGTGCCTCTGTTTCCTTAACTGTGAAACTGGGGACAACAGTCCCTACTTCATAAGGGTGTGAAAACCCTTGTTGAAAGTACGCAGTGAGATGTATGAAGAGTGCTCAGCCCAGAGCTCATATTAAGGATGCAGCAATTGCTCATCCTTACTCCTTTTGGAAACTGTAGTTTGCCCCTCCGATAGTACCAGGCAATTCCTTTTACCCCCAAATCAAATTAAAATCACAAAGAAACTGTCTGCATTTTATTTTAAAGTTTTATTATGAAAACACATGGAATTAACGGTGTTATCCATGTATTTGCAGCAGCAGAGAAACAGTGACGGTGGACCATCTCCATAGGAGACACTTTGGCTAAACAAATATAAATAATGGAAATAACACCTAATACAATAACACGACACATAAAAAAGATTAAATTAAGAGAAGGGACAGGAACTGCGGAGAGGAGTCCTGAGTATGGAGGAGATGCCTCTCATGGAGAAACATCCAGGTTCAGGTGACCTTCCCTGAAGACTTCCTGTCTCTGAGCAGCTCAGTTCAATTCCAGGTCATACACGTACTCCTGGACCCAGGTCTCACTGGGGTCAGCGCAGACTTGCTTCCCTCTTTTGGTTTGGAATCTGTAGAACAAGGAGCAGACAGATGAGAATCCCATGAGACCTTTGAGGTCATCTGGCTTTTTCCCTTGCCTGGGGTCGGTATCTTCCTCTGCCTGACCATGGTCCATGTGGGCAGCTCTGGTGCATGGGATCCTTCCCGGGGCAGCACTGGAACCAGACTCCCTGTAACTTCCACCCACTGGAGTTAGCTGTGGGCCCCAGGGGTTTCCCAGATGAGGAACCAGTGGGCATTACAATCAATATGAATAGATCTCCCCATTCCCTGCCAGCCTGGCAGTGACTTTTCCACATGTCTTTCTAGCACGGTTTGAGAAATCCGTCCCTATCTCATGTGACCTGTCTGACTTCCCCTGCTTTCCTGTCCTCTGGATAACTTCCTCCCCAGAATCCCCTTCTCTCTCGGCTCCTGCTCAGCCGCCTTCAGCACTTGAAAAATGAGTTCATGACCTGTGTCCTCACTGCTCTCAGGGAAGGCTTCAGCCCTGAGAGCTGCCTCCCCACTGCTCAATCACCCCCTCCCCAAAACAGGCCCCCTTTTAAAATCCAGCCCTCCCCCTTGCCTCCCAGAGGAGCCCAGGGGTTGATACTCACACCACAGCTGGCTGGGAGCAGAGGCTGCTGGTCTCGTAGTAATCTACCACAAAGTTGCGAGGAAGCTTCCTCACGGTGTAAGAAAAGCAGCAGGCGGTGGGAGGGTCTGAGCCCACTGAAAGGAAAGGCCAGGGTGAGATCAACACTGCACATGGGAGCTGTTTATTTTGGCTTCTAGTTTTGTGTCTTCTTTGAGCATCCCTGTGTAGCTAC